TTCATGTCTTTTTGTTTTGGTTTTGTTCTGGCTTTGTGACCCACTAGGTCTAATCAGGGCTGGTCTCACAGGCGTGGGTGTGGAGCTATCCACTGGACTGTGAATGACTCACCAGAGGTTACATCACTGAAGACAATGGCTTCCTCCATAGCTGTCCTGGGCAGGACTGGGCCTCATGAGCCCCTCACCCATCTATGACTGAATGTTTATCAGCTTCAGTCTTATGCAGGTCTTGTATGGGTGACCATGGCTGCTGTGAGTTTATGAATGCCACAGCTATGTCATGCCCACAAGACAGTTTCACAGCCCCCTCTCCCCATGTCCAGCTCTTATATGGTTTCTACCTCTGTTTCCACAGTGATCCCAGAGCCTTGGTGGGGATGATTATCAGTGTCCTATTTAAGGGTGAGCACTCAACAGTTACTTGTTCTCAGCACCTTTACCAGTCATGAGTCTCTGTTTATTGCTGTTTGCTGCAAAGACAAACATCTTTGATCAAAGTTCAAGACAGCATGAGTCTATGGGTATAAACATAAATATTTAGGAACTGGTGTGACAACATGTCCATTTAGCACAAAAGTTGTAGGTTCACTCCTAGTGCCCTTGACCTTCCTGGCCACGGGCCTTTGACCAGGTCTACAGTGTTGTGATGTTTCACCACAGAAGACTACTCAGACACAAAATTTTGGCAAAAGAAAGTCTTCCAATCTGTTCTGAAGTGCAATCCCAAGCAGTCTCTAGGATAAGTTTTTATACAGAAAAACTATATCCAGGGGTGAAAAGTTTAACTTCCCAAGCTTAGGGGTAGAAAACTCCCCTAACAATTTCTATTCTGTAAGACAACAATTACTATTCTGTAAGAGCAAGCCATTTAAAACTTACAGAAGCCACAAATCTGCTGTTAGTGGGGTGGGAGCATGGGTAGCCAGGTGCATGCTGACCTGTTCTCAAGTCCACACCTTAGCGCAGCTGGGTTGAACTTTCATTATTTTATTTTATTATTATTTTTTATTTTTAGCTTTAACTACTGGGTTTAGTTGGGGCCTGCTTGTAACATGGCATAGCGATGGTCAGCCTCTAAGCGCCTCATCACAACAGTACCAGGCATCCAATCAGAAAGCAGTTGTTTCCCCACAATATCTGTGCGACTACTACACCAGTAGGCAAATCTTACCTGACAAGCTGGTATCACAGTATGCAAGCTCCAAAGCTGGGAAAGGCCACTGCTGACTTTTCTCCCCTGGCTGCCTACATAGCAACTTTTGGAACTAGCTTCCAGCTCAGTTCCATCCTGATTTCTCTGTGTTCTGCAACCAAGGTGTGACGTCTTTAGCAATACAGTCTTTATCGATCTATCTATCTATCTATCTATCTATCTATCTATCTATCTGTCTGTCTGTCTATCTATCTATTATCTATCTATCTATCTATCATCTATCTATCTATCTATCTATCTATCATCTATCTATCTATCAATCATCTATCTATCTATCTATCTTTCATCTGTCTGTCTGTCTTCTATCTATTTATTGGTCTTTTTGAGACAGAATTAACTGAACCATCTCCCCAGGCCTTACCTCCCCCCACCTTTTTTTGAGACAGGATTTTACACAGCCCAGGCTGGCCTCAAACTCACTATGTACTGTAGATGACCTTGAACTTCTGATCCTCTAGTTTTCACCTCCCAAGTGCTAGGAATATAGGCATGTACCACCATGCCTGGTACATGTTTTGCTGCAATTAAACCCAGAGCTTCATGCATACTAGGCAAGCACTCTACCAACTGAACTACATCCATAACCCAAGAGATGTGGTCTAGTTGGGCATGGTGGCACATATCTATAACTTGGGAAGCTGAGGCAAAGGAATAGTGAGCTCAAAGCTAGCTTGGGTAACATAGTGTGGTGGTTTGAATGAGAAATATCCCCCATAGGCTCACGTATTTGAAAACTTTGTCCTCAATTAATGGCACTGTTTGGGAGGTCCTGGAATCTTTAGTAGGTACAGCCTTGCTGGAGGAAATATGTCATTGGGGTTGGGCTTTGAGAGTTCATAGCCTTGCCCTATTGCTAGTTTGCTCTCTCTGCTTCATGTTTGCTGTTGAAAATATGAGCCATCGGCTTCCTGCTCTGGCTACCATGCCTGTTGCTGGCTGCCATGCCTCCCTGCTGTGGTGGACTCTTACCCCTCTGGAACCATAAGCCCAAATAAACTCTTCCTTCTATAAGTTGCCTTGGTCATGGTGTTTTAACACAGCAAAAGAAAAGTAATTAATACATATAGCAAGACCCTCTCTCAAAGAAACAAACACAATCTGCTAAATTGCCGAGTCTGATCTTGAATTCTTGGGGCTTAAATGATTTTCTTGCCTCAGCTTCCTGAATAGTTGGGACTACAAGTGTGTGACACTGTGCCTGGTTGTTGGTGGTAATTTTTTGGCAGGTTCTCAATACGTAGCCCTGGCTGGTCTAGAGTTTGCTATGTAGCGCAGGGTGGCCTTGAATTTGTGATCTTCTTTGCTTTCCCAAGTGCTGAGATTACAGGTGTGCACCACCACAGCTAACAACAAAGTTTTATTATTCAGCTTCTGTTGTGTTTGAGACAAAGTCTACGTTGCCCTGACTGACCAGGAACTTACAATCTTCTTGCGTCAGCCTACTAACTCTTAAAATTACATGAATGTGCTACCAAATTCAGCAATTATTTGATTTTTTGCTTATGTATGTATGTAGGTATGTTTACCTATATGTGGGCACATATGTGTGCAGTGTATTTGCATATGTGTGCATGTGTATGGAGGCCAGAGATGTCGGGTGTTTTCCTCCATTACTCTTCATGTTATTTACTGAGACAGGATCTCTCATTGAACCCAGAGCTCTCTGATCCAGCTAGTCAGCTTGCCTGCAAGATCTCCTTTCTCTGCCTTTGAAAAGCTGAGATTACAGGTGGGCTGCCACAACCACCCAGCCCTTAAAAATTAAATTTTTTTAATTTATTGTTTATTTGCATTATATGTGTATGACATGTGTTTTGCCTGCATCTATGTAAGTACACCATGTGTGTGCAATGCCTGTGGAGGCCAAAACCAGAGGGTGTCAAATCCCCTGGAACTGGAATTAAGGACAGTTGTTAGCTTCCATGTGGGTGCTGGGAACTGAACCCGGTTCCTCTGCAAGAGCAGCCAGTGCTCTTAACTGCTGAGCCAACTCTCCAGCCTCCCCACTCAGTTTTTTAATGTGGAGGCTAAGGATCCAAACTCCATTCCTCACATTTGTGCAACAAGCACTTTTTTTCTTTACTGTGTCACCTTCCCAACACCAATTATTTAATTTTTAATGAGTACTTGCCTTTGGAAGGCAGAGGCAAGAGACTAAGAATTTGAGGGCAGCTTAGGTTACATAGTAAGTTCAAGGTCAGCCTGAACTACATAGCAAGGCCATGCCTTGTTTGTTTTTGTTTTTTTTTTTTTTCACAATAGCTAAGAGACTGAAGCAACCTAAGTGTCCCTCAACAGATGAAGGGAGGCCCAGCTAGATCAGACTGCTAGTATGGGAGATGGCACTTGGACTGCTTCCCTTGGGCTATGGTCTGAGAGAGCCAGGGCTCAGCTGAGGACATCCCAACCATCAGCCGTCATCGTCTGTTTCTGTTTGGTTTTGTTTTTTTAAGACAGGGTCTCACTGTGTAGTCCTGGCAGGTCTGGAACTTGCTATGTGGACCAAGCTGGCCTCAGACTCACAGAGATCCACCTGTCTCTGCCTCTCAAGTGCTGGGATTAAAGGTGTGCTTTTGTTTCTTTTAAGTTGGGCCCAAGAAATGAGAATTGGGGGCCAACAAGATGGCTCAGCAGGTAAAAATACTTGCAAGCCTGATGACCTGAATAGAGCTCCAGAACCCACAGTGGGAGAGAGCGGACTCCAGAAAGTCTTCTGACTTGCACACACATCTGATCTCCATACGTGCACCATGGAACGAGTGCTCCCACACTCACACATGCCTTATACACACATATGCATACACATGCACACACATGTACATACATACACATTACACTAATAATAGCAAATAAAATAAAACTTAAAAAAGAAAAAGAAATGAGAATGGGACTCTATTAACTAGGTGTCCCCATTGCAGGTCACCCAGAGACTTCCTCTGTTTCACTCTCATAAAGTTCAGGACCCCTAAAGTCTCATACAGTCCTTTCAGTGAGAACCGAGACTGCTCTAAGTTGTATAGACACTGCTCAGTTCTCTGTCCCATGAAGAGGGAACATGGCTGATTTCTCTACAAATATTTGTCCATTTGTACTGATTGCTCAAACCTTCAGCCTCAAGAGACATTGGCATTTACTATGTGTCTCTGCCACATTCCATCTCTAAGTCAAAGAAAGAGCCATAGAGACCCAAAGGCAAAAAAGCCTCAAAGTCAGGCGTGTTGGCTCACATTTGTAATTTCAGAACTGGGGGGACTGACAGGAAGGCTACCACAAGTTTGAGGTGAACCTGGCTACAAACCCATCTCAAAATCCCCTCTCCCAAAGAAAAGAAAGCCTTCAAAACCGTGATTCCGACATACAAGCAGCTTTTTATTTTTCTTTTCAGTTTAAAAATTGTGTCTCATGCCTTTAATCCCAGCACTCAGGAGGCAGAAGCAGGCGGATCTGAGTTCAAAGCCAGCATGGTCTACATAGCAAGTTCCAGAACAGCTGGGGCTACAGGGAGACCCTGTCTCAAAAAGACCAAAAAAAAAAAAAAAAATTGACACAAGCAGACTAGGATGGTGCCTTTGTGGTAGAGTACTTGCCCAGCGTTCCCCAGGCCCTGCGTTCAAGCCTAATACCACAAAAATAAATGTAGTAGCACAGGTCTATAATCCAGCACCTGGAAGGCTGAGGCAGGATTGCCGTAAATTTGAGGCCAGCCTGGGCTACATAGTATGTACACGGGCTACATAGCAAGACCCTGTCTCAAAATCCCAAAAGAAAACAAACAAACAAAAAATGAGCATAATCAAGGTACAGCATTTAGTTGGGGAATTAGAACACATTAGGCAGGTGAATGGGGAAATTGCAGTAGCCATAGTATTTAAAAACTGAAAAAATGTAGTCACATGTCTTTGAGCACTGGGATCAAAAGAAGAACATGCATCAATCCTAAGATGCCCCAGTGTTTCTAGCTACAAGCTGTGTGTGGTCTCTGTATGCAGGCCTACTAAAGACCCGTGAGAAAGCAAATGTGAGACCTGGGATGCCTTCCCTATCCAAAATAAACCTGAAAAGATTTCAGCAGAAAGTCCACTAAAATACATTTCAGAAGGATTGCAAGTCGAGCAACAAAGTATACCTGATCTTCAGTAGGAATTGTGGCATTCTCAATTTCTGGGCTTTCTATCAGCCTCTTCCCCACTTTATCCAGATGCTCCCAGGACTCAAAGGTACACTTCTGGGTGACATTGGCCGCAGAAGCCTTGAACTCTCTTACCAGGTCAATGGAAGGGAGCTTCTCAGCAAATTCAGCCATGAGTGCTGCTGTCTCATAGAGAACCCACCCATATTCAGAGGTGCATGCCTCAGGTGGGGTAACTGAGCGCTGGACCCTCTTATGCTCCCCAGTGAATCCCCCCAGATCCCTCAGAATGACTTCAGTGTTGTCCATCCCCTCTTCCTTACAGCGCTTTTGACTCTCACGGAGAAGGGTTTCCGTGGTGTCCTTTCCTTCCGTCCTCATGATCTGAAGCTGCAGATAGAGGGCTTCAGTTGGGCAGCCGATATCTTCCAGGGCCATTCCCAGGGCTAAGTTGGACAAATACTCAGGCAGAGGGGCTAAGGAGGGCACTGAGTGCAAGAGATCCTGGCAGGTGCTGGGGTCTGGGGGAGAGATCTGGCCCGAGAGCATGTTTGGTGTATGTTCAGTCTCTGTGATAGCCAGCTGGGAGGTCAGGGCACCATTCTGGGCATTCCTCAGAAAGGCAGCTGCTGGGGATAGCAAGAAACAGCCGAGGAGTAACACAGCCTGGATCATGGTGGGTCAGCAGAACAGCCCTGTTAGGAAGGACCAAAGCTCCGGTAAAGAAGAGGGAAAAGATTCAAGATGAACAGGAGTAGGAAATGGTCAGAGCTGGGAAGAATTTTAGCCCTTGGAGATTTCAAATACCCAGAACATGGTTTCACCACAAGTCTTAGAGGCTGTTGGTGACCCTCACCTGTTCTGAGAAAAAGTAGCCAGAAGAACAAGGTCCTGTGTCTCAGCACTTCTGAAGGTGAAGTGGCTGTAACATGATAGTTGACCACTGAAAACCTGAATCTTCACAAATATTTACCATCTCTTTCTGGGCAGACTTTGTCCTGCCTGTTATTGTCCCATCCTGATAAACAGGGCTTCCCCTGTCACCCTAAGTATTTACCTAGACCTAAACCAGATCAGGAAAACAAAGTTCCTCTGTTTCTTGTAGACAATAGAAAGTCTGTCTCTGTCTCTCTGTCTCTCTCTCTCTTTCCAGGGCTCCTGTAGCCCTGGCTGGCCTGGAGGTCACTATGTAACTGAGTATGACCTTGAACTTCTGATCCTTCTGCTGTCACCTCCCAAGTGCTGGGATTACAGGTGTGGGCCACCATACTCAGTTTATGTGGTTGGGGATCAAATCCAGGGATTTGAACATACTAGGCAATCATTCTACCAACCAAACTATATCCCCAGCCTACATAGTTATACTAAGGACTTACCAGGTAGATGCTTCAGAAATTAGAATATACTAGCTAATCACACCAAATCAAAGCAGCTTTTCAAGTTTTACTTTATTTATTTATTTTTGAGTCAGAATCTTACTTTGTGTCCCAGGTTGGCCTGAATCTCTATGTAGTCCAGGTAATCTTACCTTAGCCTCAGTGTGCTGGGATACAGACATGAACCACCATACCTGACATATATAAATATATAAGTATATTTAAGACAAGGCCAAAAAAGGCAGGGTCTCAGACTCAGTGGATACAAAGTACTTGCTGAACAAGCCTCACAGTGTGAGTTTAATCCCTGGAACCCATATAAAAAGCTGAATAGGGTGGCTCACATATGTAATCTCACATATGTAATCCCAATACTCCTTTGGCCAGATGGGAGGTGGAGACAGGAGAATCTTCCCAAAATTCACAAGTCAGACTGCTGGAGTATGCTGCACAGAAACAGAAATAACAAGAGAAATCCTGTTTCAACAAGGTGGCAGTTCAGAATTGACTCTCAAAAGCTGTCCTATCTCCAAGTATACCATCATACACACACACACACACACACACACACACACACACACAGAGTATTAGGTTCTCTAAAGAAACAGAATTGATGGAATATGTGTATATATATATATATGTATATATATATATGGGTTTATCAGATTAGCTCAGGATAGAGTCCGAGCAGTCCAACAATGGCTGTACCACACTGGAGCATCCGGTAGTCACTCAGTCCTCAAGGCTGGATGTTGCAGTAGTCCCAATCTGGCACTGAAGGTCTGATAAATTCCTAAACATCGGCTAGTCTTCTGTCTATAGCAGCAAGATGAACTCACCAGCAAGAGAGAAGGCAAATGACAAAAAGCAAGTGCTCTCCCCTGCCACGGCCTTTTATATGGCTACCATCAGAAGGTAACACCCACATTTAGGGTGTGTCTTCCAGCTTCAGATGATCCAATCAAGAAGATCTCTCTCATTTCAGTTAATCCCAGATCCAGTCAAGTTGACACCCAGGATTAGCCATCACACACACACTAAATTAGGAAATGAAAACCAGGGCTAGAGCGATGACTCAGTGGTTAACAGCACTGGCTGCTTTTGTAGAAGACCCAGGTTTGTCTCCCAGCATCCACATGCAGTGGCTAACAACTGTCTGTACCTCCAGTTCCAGGGGATCTGATGCCCTCTTCTGGCCTTTTTGGGCATTGCATGACACGGGCACACTTACATACATACACATACACATAAAAAATAGTTAAGGCCTGCTCAATGGCAGGGAATTCATGCATAGTACTGTAAACATAGCCAAGTACACATGGCCGAAGGGGTCACAGACCCTAGGGAAGAACTTACTCCTATCACTTCCCCAGACCAAAGTTATTTCCTACTACATTCTAAATACATATATTTATAGACAAGTGTACCTCTCACCACTCATCAAAGAAGCTTCTTTTTGCAACAGATGGAGACTATTACAAAGTTCTACAACTGGTCATATGCAGAGTAAGTGACTGTGAGGTGCCCAGCCCCAAGTGGTACACCTACAATGAAACCCCTACCCACAAGGCCCAGTGAACATCTCAGTAGAGGGGGTAGAAAGAATGTAAGAGTCAGAGGGACAAGACACCTGCTGCTAGTTAAAGCATTCTAGACATGATAGGAAATGAAATGAAATCTCCACAGTACAGTAGTCTAACAAGAGCTGCATAATGACAAAACAATTGACATGCCAAGGTGGATGGGGGAAGTTTCACAAGGTCCCATGTAAAAATGAAGAACTGTAGGCAATCAATGGATGTGGAGGGAAGGAAATCAGTTTTCCCCAGGGACCTGCTTTCTGAGATGCTATCTAATTCCAAGTGAGCAACCCTAAACACAGGTACACACAAGCACCACTAATGGACTCAGTACATTATAAATATACACATATACATGTAACAATAATAAAGAAGAGGGTAAGCAATTGAGAGGGAGTGGAGAGACATGGGAGAAGTTGGAGGGGGACTGGGGGGGATGGAAATAATGCAAATACAATTCTCATGTATGAATTCTCAAAAATAAAATATAAAAAACCCAATAAAACAGACAAGGTCTCACTGTATAGCCCGGGCTGGCCTTGAACTTGTGATTCTCCTGTCTCTGTCTTTCTGGTGCAGGGGTTGTAGGTGTACACCACCACACCTGGATCAGTTTTTAAAATTGTTTTTATTGCTGGGCATGGTAGTGCACACTTTTAATCCCAGCACCTGAGAGGCAGAGGCAGGCAGATCTCTGAAAGTTCAAGTCCAGCCTGGTCTACATAGCGAGTTGTAGGCCAGATGGGGCTACAGGGAGATCCTGTCTCAAAAAGACCCCCCAAAACAATTTAAAATAATAGTTTTTATTTATTTTTATTTATTTGTATGTGCATGACTATGTGTTTGGGGGAAGGGTGTGCTTTAATGGAGCTCAGAGGACAACTTGCAGGAGTTTTCTTTTCCATCATGTGAATCCCAGGTTTTCAGGCTTGTGCCTGCTGAGTTATCTTGCCGGCCCCTGGCTTAGTTTTTATCTTTTAAATTGCAATGTAAAATCGAAATCAAACCTATTAGTTCCCATGTTCATAGTTTTGTTTTTAAAATTTTTTGAGACAGGGTCACATGTAGCTCAATCTGGCCTTGAACTCCTGACCCTCCTGTCTTTAGCTCCCGAGTACTTAAATTGCAATGTAAAATCGAAATCAAACCTATTAGTTCCCATGTTCATAGTTTTGTTTTTAAAATTTTTTGAGACAGGGTCACATGTAGCTCAATCTGGCCTTGAACTCCTGACTCTCCTGTCTTTAGCTCCTGAGTACTCCATGCTAGTACCTTTAAGTTTACAAATGCTACAGGCAATATGCTTCATTTCTTCTTCTTCTTTTTTTTTTTTTTTTGAGACAGGGGGGTCTCCCTTATCCCCAGCTGGCCTAGAACTCACTATGTAGACCAAGCTGGTCTCAGTCTCACAGAAATCCACCTGCCTCTGCCCTCTGCTGGAATTAAAGGCATGCATAACCACTCCTAACTGAGCTTCATTTTTTAAATTTATTGTTTTTTAATGTGTCTGAGTATATTGCCTGCATGTACGTAAGTGCACTCATGTAGTGCAATGCCCAAGGAGGTCAGAAGAGGGCGTCAGATCCCCTGGAACTGGAGTTATGGACAGTTGTTAAACACCATGTACGTGCTCTGAATTGAACCTAGGTCCTCTGCAAGAGCAGTCAGTGCTTTTAACCACTAAGCCATCTCTCCAACTCCTAAGCTTCATTTCTTATCTAAGGGTAGCTGCAGTCTGGAAAGCAGGGAGAGAGAATATTGATTCTCCTAAGCTGGTTAAAAGGCTGTAGGTCATAGTACCATAAGGTTCTGCCCTCTGTGGTGCTATGACCTATCTCTGGTAGAGAAGGGGAGACAGGCCAATGAAGGAGTCTAGGGGTCCACCTAATTTACTCATCCTTTAGTTCCCAGGAGGGGAACCTAACTATGAAGAAGGAAGAAGAGGGGGTGGTAAGAGGGTGAAGCATGAGAGGAAGGAGAGGAAGAAAGTGAAGAGGAGGAAGAGGTGGGAGAAGAGGACCCCAGAATGGCTTCTAGAACACTAAGTCTTTAAGGAATCACTGGGATAAACTCCTAAAATTAGGAGAACTGGATGAGAGGCATCCAACACTTACTGAAATTGAGGGTAAATCTTAGATAAGTAAACAAGGAGTTGGCTATGAGGTAACCAAGGACAACTGGGGCTGCCTTCCAGCAGCCGTGTCTCATGATGGTCAGCATGTGCCACTGTGGTTCAACATCTTCAAAGTTGCAATTGGGTTCTTCCTGTTATCAGAACCCAGGTGCCAGGAAACTCTAAGTTGCCACACATGGACAGTAAGAAAGAGCCTGCATCCTCAGCAACTTCCATGCAACATCTTTGCTTTGTGGTTTGTGGGAATGACTTTTCTGGGGATGAATCCTTTAATGAGCCTTTAGAAACTGAACTTTAGCATAAACGTTGTAAACCAAGTTAATCACCTGTTTTGAGAACATTTAGAGGTATGTATGCCTTCTGTGTATATACTGTGTATTTGGCTTGTTCAGAATTAACTGACCTTTTAAAAAAAAAATGTAATCAACCTTATGATGATTTGTAATGCCAATTAACTCTTACAAGCTAAACTGATTGCACAGCTTTAATCTTATACCATGCTCCCTGTTGTGATTTAGTTATGCACACATCTGCACATGTACATGTATGTGAGATGTGGCAATTAGACCTAAGACCACCCCTAAAAGCAGTAATGATGTTCTTTTTCCCACAAATGTTGAAAGCAGTATGTGGACATAGGTTATTAACATCTGTTATTAGTTTTGTAGTGTTCTAGGTCAGTAGGGCCAGAAAAACAACTTTCTTTGTAAAAACATATCGCAGATTGCTCATACCTTTCCCGTGCCATGCTTTAGTTTGCTTTCTATTGCTGTGATAAACACCATGACCAAAAGCAACTTGGGGAGGAAAGGATTTATTTCATGACACTTTTTAATCCATCATGGAGGGAAGCCAAGACAAGAGCCTAGGATAGAGAGCAGGGACGAGACCATGGAGGAATGCTGCTTACAGGCTTGCTTCCCCTGGCTTCCTCACTGCTTTTCTTATTCAGCGCAGGCCCACCTGCCCAGGGATGGCACCACCCACAGAGGGCTGGGCACTACCACATTAATTAGCTGTTAGGAAAATGCTTCACAGACATGCCCACAGGCCAGTCTGATGGAATTTCCACAACTGAGGTTCCTTCTTCCCAGGTGCCTCAAGTTTGTGTCACGTTGACAAAAACTAACTAGCAGTGTTTGATATTCTGTTCAATAAATAAGAAAGGAAGCCCTTTATTCAATCAGGAAAACACCTCAGAGCAAAGCAGGTTTACTCTGGGGTTACATGACTTCAAGAGTCAGTTTTTTTCTTTTCAATGTTTAGTCAGTTTTACTTTTTAAAAATTATTTCCCATTTAGGGGGACTGGAGAGTACTCTAGAAGAGGATCCAAGTTTGGTTCCCAGCACCCACATGGCAGCTAACAACAGTCCATAACACCAGTTCCAGAGGATTCGATGCTCTCTTCTATCTCCACAGGCATTGTACAATATGGGTGCATTTACATACGTGTATGCAAAGCACTCATACACATAAAAATAATTTAAATATCTTACTCTTTATGTATATGTGTGTTGCCTGCATGTATGTAAGAGCACCTGTTCTACGGGGTTTGGATTTGTCAAATGTGTGCCATATGCCCAACCTTACAGTATCATGTAGGACACTTTCTCTGACCCAAGTTTTAGGTGTTCCCAGGACTTGATTCCTAGCACTTAATAAACAGTGCTGATTTTAACAGCACTTCACAATCAGCTTCTGTTGCCATTAAAATAAGCAGCAGTGAAGTAAATCCATTAGCATGCTACATCATTAGGTAGAGAGGAAGTACTCAACAGACCAGCATTCCTACCCTACTCCTCTGGGTACCCAGCCTGTCCTGCTTCTGGGCTAACAAAGAGGACCCTAAGGCCTGTGCTTGGTGCTCTTCTTCTCTGGAAACTTCAGGTTCTACTTCTCAAGAGACATTGTTTTTATGTTTATCAGGGAGGAGGGAGAAAAGGGAATTAAAAAAATTTTTTTATTTATTTTTTATGTGTATGAGTGTATTGCCTTTATGTATATGAGTGCACCTGTGTCCTGCAATGCTGCAGAGGTCAGAAGAGGGCTTCGGATTCTCCTGGAACTGGAGTCAAGGGTGGTTCGTAGCCACCATGTGGGTACTGGGAATCGAACCCGGGTCCTCTGGAAGAGCAGTCAGTGCTCTTAACCACTGAGCCATCTCTCCAGCCCTGGGAATTCTTTTTTATATTTACTTGGCTGGGCCGGGCATGGCAGTGCATGTCTTCAATCTCAGCACTCTGGAGGTAGAGACAGGCGGATCTCTGTGAATTCAAGGCCAGCCTGGCCTACAATAGTGTGTTTCAGGCCAGCTGGGGCTACAGGAAGACCCTGCCTCAAAGCCAAAAAAAAAAAAAACTTGGCTTGGTATGGTAGCACACATCTTTAATCCTCAGCATTTGGGAGGAAGAGGTAAGTAGATCTTTGAGTTTGAAACCAGCCAGGGCTATGCAGTGAGACCTTGTCTCAAAAAAAAAAAAAATCTGTTTATTGTGTGTTGGGAGTCGGGGAGCACATGCAGAGGTCAGAGGACAACTTGTTGGACTTTGTTTTCTCCTCCCACCATGTGGGTTCTAGAGATGAAGAGGTAGGTAGATCTTTGAGTTTGAAACCAGCCAGGGCTACACAGTGAGACCTTGTCTCAAAAAAAAAAAAAATCTGTTTATTGTGTGTTGGGAGTCGGGGAGCACATACAGAGGTCAGAGGACAACTTGTTGGACTTGGTTTTCTCCTCCCACCATGTGAGTTCTAGAGACGGAACTCAGATCCAGGTTGTCAGCAAGTATCTTTCCCCACTGAGTCACCTTGCTGGCCCTCTCTTATTTTGATTTTTGAGACAGGGTCTCAGTCTTAGAGCCCTGGCTAGCCCAGAACTTGTAATATGGAATGTGGAATATGCTACCACACTCAGCTCAGGAAATCTCTTTTAACCCTAACATTTCAAACTTCCTCCAATAACATACATATGGATGGCTGACAAGTCACATGGAGACCAGCAATTTTAAATTTCCCATTTTATTAACATAACAAACACAAAGTATGTCTGTCATCTTGAGAGTAGTGCACCTCAGCTCTACCTCAACTGCAAGAATCAGGTTTAATCTTGTGTCTCAAGAATGATCACTAGAAAGAAAATGAGGGAATCTAGTGCTTTCTAAAAATGGTGTGACCCCCCGCCATGTGTTACAAAGCTTCTTGTCTGGTGTTATGACCTACCTCTAGCAGAAAGCCAAAAGAACAGATGGATGAGAGGGCCCAGGCTGCCTTCTGTATTTCATTTACTCCTCTCACTGGCTAAGAGATGGTTCCTAGAAGAGGATTACGTCTCCAGAGAGCTCATACTAAGGAAACTGGGAGGACTGACTGTAGAGGCCACTCAACACTGTTGCCTAAAATTCTTGGGCTGTACGTGTAGGCAGGATTACTTTCAATTCAGCAAGAGTAGATTCTGCGCCCTCCCATCTGGAAATCTATCTCTAGCATGAGACACCTGGCTTTTCAGTCATCTTCATCTTCATCTTCAATTTGAAATCGTTTCTTCTTGTGGATTGCTGGAGCACCCAGCTCTGGTGCTATGGAATGTGGGTAGAGGAAAGAAACAGAAAACATCTAAGTATGTTAAAGGGTAAGGCAGGTGGCAGAGGGTCTTCAAACTGAAGACAGAGGTTAGAAGAAAAAGCAGGTCCCAATCAGACTCCTTACCTTGGCTCCTGGCCTCATCTCCCTCCTCATCACTGTCCAGCAGGAGTCGCTTCTTAGACACTACCATCCACTGCTCTTTCTCCCCAGCAATCCCTTCCTCTGAAGTGACTATTAGAGGCACAAAATTAGGGAACTGGGTCTGTGTAGTCTCAAAATAATTTATCAGCCCTCTACACCCAGATGACTGGCACAAAGCAAGCAGTCAATAGGTGAGCGTGGCACTCTCACCTTCCGGGGACACCAGGCCTGTTTCCTTCTCACGGACTAACAAGAGGGCTCTCAGAGCTTTGGCTCGGTGTTCCTCACTAGGACTGTGATCTCCAGGGACTCTCGACTGTAGCTCAGGCTCTGGTTGTGGCTTCTTGTCCTTTTCCTTCTCCTCCTCCTCCTCCCCCTCCTCATGTTGACTCAAAGAAGCTGCTAATCTTCGGAGCTGGGTGGGGCTCAGTTTGGTTGGGATTCGCGGACTAACAAGAGGGCTCTCAGAGCTTTGGCTCGGTGTTCCTCACTAGGACTGTGATCTCCAGGGACTCTCGACTGTAGCTCAGGCTCTGGTTGTGGCTTCTTGTCCTTTTCCTTCTCCTCCTCCTCCTCCTCCTACCCCTCTTCATGTTGACTCAAAGAAGCTGCTAATCTTCAGAGCTGGGTGGGGCTCAGTTTGGTTGGGATTCACCAGAATGTTTCCTACAGGGGCACAGCAGGTGACAACACTGCAAAGGAGAGGACCAGCCTCTTTGTTCTCTAGATTATTCTATTATTCATTGAATAAATACAATCCTACATGGATGAAGATCTTTAAGATTTATAAACCTGGCTAATTGCTTATTTGTAATATATAGTTTATGTCTAGCGCAGTGCTATTAGGGTCCCAGTAAATACAGTTGTTAACAATACATACATGAACGGATCCTGGTCGTATAAAAGTGAACTAAGCATGATCCTTGCTCTGAAGAACTAAAAATCAATCGCACAAAGAACTGATGCACTGTAATGCCACTGGATTGGGCCCGAGTTAGAAGGGCAACAGCATGGCTTCTCTGAGGAAAGGACATTGAGCTGACTTTTTTAAGTTTTGTTTTTGTTTTAGAGACAGGGTTTCACTCTGTAGTCCTGGCTATGGTAGACCAGGCTGGTCTTGAACTCACAGAGATACCTGCCTCTGCCTCCCAAGCACTGGGATTAAAGTTGTGCGCCATCATGCCTGGCTTGAGTTGACGCTTGGAGACAGGGTTGAGGTTCAACCGGAAGGTGTGCGGGAGTGTGTGCATGTCTGTGTGTGTGTAGCATCTCATACATGTGTGTCAGAGCCTTCAAATAGGAGGACTGACAAGATCAGCTACTGAAGCATGGGAAAGCCTTCCATCTGAAGGGTGGAAAGTAGTCCAGGATGACTGGTGTAAAGCAGGTGCATGGTGAAATCGCCATGGAGCTGCAAAGGTTGACTACTTAGAGGCTCTAGATTCTGTCTTACAAGCAGAAGGAACCATTAAATGCTCTAGACAGAGAAGGGATATTATTATACTGGGGCAATGTCAAGTATGGATTTAGGAAAGGGGAGACTAGAAAGATCAGCAAGAAGACTACTCAGGAATCTGGGTCAGTGAGGACGAGACAGTGGCAAGGAAGCAGCAATGGCAATGAGATGCATTTTGAACAGGACCAACAACTCCTTGTCTGACACTGGGACTGTTGGACTTGCCTGCCCAGAGGAGGGGGGCCGAATTCCTAGCTTGTGCAACAGCTGTTGAAACTGTTCATTTTCCATTGCTTCCTCATTTTCTTCTGTCAGTGGCACAAGTAGGATTGCCTGGGAGCAGCCTAGAACAGAGTCAGTAGTTAAGGTGGTAAAGATGTGAAGAACTGGTCCTCAATCCCACAATCAGACCAGTAGCCTCTAGTGTTCCAATCCTAAAACCATGGTCTGTCTATTCACCATCCTCTTCCCGATCACATGCTGCACAAATCAGGCAGTTCTGGAGCCAAAGGAGAGGAGCACAAAAGGCTAAGGGAAAAAGAGAAATGCACATTTGGTCCCTGTCCCCTTCCAAACCCTCCACCTAAGATGCTTCTTCAATCAGAGGCCTCACCTTCCTGATGCAGGCCTTGACCAAGGTTCTTAGTAGAGAGAAACAAGCTACCCTGAACTTGTTCTGCTTCCAAGTCTTCCTTTTCTCCATCCTTTTGGTCCCTGTCCCCTTCCAAACCCTCCACCTAAGATGCTTCTTCAATCAGAGGCCTCACCTTCCTGATGCAGGCCTTGACCAAGGTTCTTAGTAGAGAGAAACAAGCTACCCTGAACTTGTTCTGCTTCCAAGTCTTCCTTTTCTCCATCCTCTTCACACTCTTCCTCTGGCCATTCTTCTTCTTCTTCCAAATCTTCCTGCCAAGAATCTTTCAGGGGCTCTTCTCCATTAGGCTGGAATTCATTGGGAATAGAGGGATAAAAAAAGGCCATTAAGAGGGACTGAGTGCAATTTTCTGGCTCCTGACTACCTACTGGAGGGACCTAGTCAGAACAGCCCACAGCAGGAGGACTCTAAGAGCACTTTATGTGGCATGGTCCAGGCTGAAGAGCTAGTGTAAAATGGTTACCATGCTGGAAGGTGCCAACTTCTTCCTCCGTTTCTTGTACAGCTGCCGCCGTTCAGTCACCAGCCCCAGAGCCAGCAGTTTATCCACTATTCGAGCCTGGGAACGTTTGGCTGTGATATTCTTCATGATATGACCAAGGATATCTATAGAGAGAACATGTGAACACTCAAGAGAAACCAGGGAAAGGGATGAATAAAGGAAATCAGAGACCGGCTCGGTTCACCACAAATGACAGAAATGTAGCAGGAGGACAGAGGATAGGCCAGGCTTTTTCTTAGAACGAGGCAGGGGGAAATTGGACAGCTTGGTTCTTATCTCAGTTCCCTGAGCTTTCAGCTCACTCACCATCAGAGTCCTGGAACTCCTCCAAAAGCCGCTGCAGCTCCAGCTCCTGATCCTCTGTCCACAATACAATCTGGGTTCCTTTCCTGTTTAGGTAGGTGTCAGTGCCAGAGAAGTGCAAACTGAGGTTTCCCCATCCCAATTCCCTCCAGATCCTGTGCCTCTACCTCTGGAAGTCCTTGACACTATCAGCCAGTCCCAGCTGTACCAGATGGTGGATGACCTGCTTGCGCATTCGAGGACCAGTTTTCATGTGTGCCAAGATGGTTTCTACCACATCCTGACCTGGGGTAGAGAAGGAACGAGGCATCAAAAAAAAAGAGTTCAGGAGCCCAGGCTGACCCCCCCACAACCTCTTCAGATCTCACACCTTCTACATCCTTATGGGCAAGATACAATTCCTGAAGCTGGGCCTCTTCCTCAGTGCTCCACACAGGAGCTCTGCAACTGGAAGGCCTGAATGGTGACAGGGGAACAGGCGCATCTAGTTATTGGTCTAAAAAAGATGAGACTGAAGATGTTTCTGATTGATTCTGAAAAGAAGAAGGTTAAAGCGAGTAAACCCAAGGAGCCAGAAAGCTGAGGCCTAACGTGTGCTCACAGCCCTATGACCCTCTTTTCCACTTAAGAGTTCAAGTCAGAATCGGGACATGTTTGATCTTGGGCCTGTGGAACCTGACACTCCAAGGACCAAGAGCAGAATGGAAAAGAGAGGAGGGTAAAAGAAAGGCAAGGCACAGAGGAAAAGAGGACACACGTTATTGTGAATCCCCACTTCAAAGATTATTTTATTCTTATGTGTATGAATGTTTTGTCTGCAAGTATGTAAGTGTACCTGTTATGTACAATGCGTGTGGTGGTCAGAAGAGGGTGTCAGATCCCCTGGAACTGGAGTCACCTTCAATTGTTACCTGCCAGGAAAAGAGAGGAGGGTAAAAGAAAGGCAAGGCACAGAGGAAAAGAGGACACACGTTCTTGTGAATCCCCACTTCAAAGATTATTTTATTCTTATGTGTATGAATGTTTTGTCTGCAAGTATGTAAGTATACCTGTTATGTACAATGTGTGTGGTGGTCAGAAGAGGGTGTCAGATCCCCTGGAACTGTGGATGCTGGGAACCAAATCCGGGTCCTCTGGAAGAGCAGCCAGTGCTTTTAACATCTAGTTTCCCAGACAGCACCCCCACCTTTTTGAGACAAGGACTCACTATATAGCCCAGGATGGCCTTGCATTTGCTATGTACCCCAGATGGGCCTTTAACTCATGGTCTTCCTACCCAAGCCTGGCATGGACCACCATACCCAGCTTGGCTCCCAGCACATTTTGAGAAGGCACACTTGGACTCTCTGGGGGACCATCTTACTATCACCCAGTGACCCCCCCTCTGTGAAGGCTGATGAAGGAAAAGGAAACTAAAACAGACAAGAGACTTAGGCTCCAGTGCCTGTTCCTCTCTTGGGTAACCTTAGGTAAAGCATTAAACTAAGTGATCAGCACATTCTCCCAGCTTTGTGACTGTGCAGCCCATTCTTCCTCAGTCCTAAACTTACCAGCTCTCAAGGGAGCCATAGCCCTCAGTCATCTCTCGAACCACAGCTGTGTTCTTCCAGAATAACAGCTCCACAAAGGCTTTTTGGTTGACTGCAGCCAATGCAAAGAATTTGCCAAGGATGTATTTGGCAAACGTCACTAGCTCCTGTAGGAAAGGAAGGTTGCCATGGCACCTCGGTCCAAATAGACATGCACAGACCTGGCCCCTCAAGTATTATTTCTCCCCTTTCCCAGCTTGTCAGCTCCTCACTCACTGCCCGCCTCTTTCTCTTCTATTCTTCTCCACACAGCTCCCTCCACCTGCCTGTGAGCTCTCTCATTGTGTTCTTATCTCTTAGCCCTTGACACCTTATCCTCTATCTCCTGAAGACCATCCATACCCTACACCCCAACAGGCTCCACTTCTTGATAGCCCCTCACTTTATAGGCTCCAGCAGCAGGGTCGCTAAGCAGACGACTGAAGAGGCAGAACAGTGAGAGCTGGAAAAGCAGAGCTTCCATTCTGAGGTCATGTGCTAGCCGGTGCAGCATCTTGGCAACACAGTGGTTGGTGTGGGCACTATTCTGCTGGTAGCTCCGCAGCAGAAGTACGTAGGCTCGCACGACGGTTGAACATGCAAAGCTGCAGCAAAACACGGAGGGAGAGTTGGTCAGCAGCAGACAGATACTGCTCATCCCTGCTGTGCTGTCACCACCTGGGAGCAACTCACTCCTCTTGGCCCTCACCGTTTCAGATAGTCCAGAAAGTTAAACTCTTTCTCCGACACCTGGACCACCCGCAATTCTTCCTCCTCCTCCTCCTCCTCCTCTTCCTCTTCTTCCTCTGCATCTCCTTCCATTGGCCCCTGCTGCCCTGTACAGAGTGAGGGTTATTTGTTCTCCGCTGCGCTCGTCCAGAGCACAGCTGGGAATGGACAGATAGGAAAGAATGGAGACTCACGGGGAAGTGGAACAGAAAGGATCTGCTTCAGCAACTGCATCTCTTCTCCTGCAGAAATGTCGGGAGAGCCAAACACATTTCCTTCTGGCCACACTTCTCTGGAGACAGACATCAAAAAGGCTTTAACCATAGGAAATTGGAGTTTAATTAGGAGTGGGAGAAGAAATTTAGACTTAGTTCCTTTGTTAATCAGAAAGAGAATTTGAACTGTTACCTCAAAGATAAAACAGACTAGGAAAAATTTCACACTGAAAATCATTTAAGAGGGCTAGAGAAATGGCTCAGCAGTTAAGAGCACTGACTGCTCTTGCAGAGGACCCAGGTTCGATTCCCAGCACCCACATGGCGGCTATTTGGTTGACTGCAGCCAATGCAAAGAACTTGCCAAGGATGTATTTGGCAAATGTCACTAGCTCCTGTAGGAAAGGAAGGTTGCCATGGCACCTCGGTCCAAATAGACACGCACAGACCTGGCCCCCCAAGTATTTTTTCTACCCTTTCCTAGCTTGTCAGCTTCTCACTCACTGCCTGCCTCTCTCTCTTCTATTCTTCTCCACACAGCTCGCTCCACCTGCCTGTGAGCTCTCATTGTGTTCTTATCTCTTAGCCCTTGACACCTTATCCTCTATCTCCTGAAGACCATCCATACCCTACACCCCAACAGGCTCCACTTCTTGATAGCCCCTCACTTTATAGCTGAGCAGTTAAGAGCACTGGCTGCTCTTGCAGAGGACATAGGTTCAGTTCTCAGCACCTGCATGGCAGTTAACAACCATTCATAACTCCAGTACCAGAGGGGATCCATTGCCCTCTTCTGGACTCCACTGGCATTGCATGACATTGAGTGCACTCACATGCAGGCAAAACTATCATACATTAAAAATATTAATAACGAGAAGTAAAAATAATTCTCTAACTCAGGAATACAATTATTCATGTTTGTAAAAAGAGGTGCTGAGCCGGGTTTGGTGGCTCATGCCTTTAATCCCAGCACTTGGGAGGCAAAGACAGGAGGAATTCAAGGTCAGCCTGGTCTATATATCAGGTCCTGGGGCTACAGGGAGACCCTGTCTCAAAAAGAAAAAAAAGACAAAAAGATTCTTTTGCTGGGCGTGGTGGTGCACACCTGTAGTCCCAGTAGTGGGAGGCAGAGGCAGGCAGATCTCTGTGAGTTCAAGGCCAGCCTGGTCTACACAGTGAGTTCCAGACCAGCTGGGGCTACCTACAGGGAGACCCTGTTTCAAAAAGAGGTGCTGGGCATAGTGGCACACGCCTTTAATCCCAGAACTTGGGAAGCAGAGACAAGTGATCTCTATGAGACTGAATGAAGCCAGTCTGGTCTACATAGTGAGTTCCAGGCCAGCTGGGACTATAGGGAGACTGTCACAAACCAACCAACCAACCAACCAACCAAAAGGAGGTATACACATCTCTATACATAATAAACTGAAGCGTAACTCATCAACATGTTAACCATGGTTGATCTTGGCTAGTGGAATTATGTTTCTTTTTTTCCCTAGCTGTGTTTTCTGATACTTCTCAAAAAAAAGCAAAAAACTCCAACTAGCCGATCAAAGCGTGCCAAGAGTTAGTAGAACCCCAGAGCCTCCAGTGGAACTTTTCTGAACACTAAGAACCCTGTAACCCAGTGAAGGCCTCCCCATACCCCCCCGAGCCCAGGAGGATGAGTATGCAGGATTCTTCCTGGGCAGACCTCAGGAGGACCAGGGCTTGTGGAGCCTGGCCAACCATGAGGCAGTCCTGGATCTGCACCATGGCTTCTACCCGTTGCTCTTCCACTGGCACCTCTGAGGCAGCATCGAAGGGAACAACGGTGTCTACACTGAGCTCAGGATCCTACAGACAGACACAGCTCTGGGAGCAGAGGGTAAGGAAACCCATAGTGTCTACACAGAGCATATTCCCCCAAAAAGATACGGTTTCTGCAACTACCCACCTGGGCACACCGCAGCAGCTGCTCAGACAGGGCTGGCCACAGAGCCACCAGCTCCTCTGGGCTAGGTGGGACATTACCAGGAGCAACAGCTTCATATAGAACCTTCTTTTTCTTCTTTCTCTTTTTCCATTTGTTCTATGAGGTAAGAATTGTATGATGACAGCAGAAGAGCTAAGCAAGTCTTTGGCCCATCAGTATCATCACTAATAAAACTAATTCAGTGAATGCTCCAGAGTGCCCACTATGTGATGCTCAGAGGAAACACTGAACAGTAATCTTGTTCTTAAAGAGCATGTATTCTACTGGGAGAGATGGGTAAGCAAACAGGAAATGACATTAGAGTGGGTAACAGCTGTAGTGCAGATGAGCATAAAACACCATGGAGCATAGAACACTATGGAGCAGGACTGGAGAGATGGCTCAGCAGTTAAGAGCACTGGTTGCTCTTGCAGAGGACCTGGGTTTGATTCCCAGCATCCACATGGCGGCTAACAATTGCCCATAACTCCAGTTCCAGGGGCCGACGCCCTCTCTTCCAAACTCCGAGTGCATTGTACGACATGGGTACACTAACACACATGCAGGCATACATGTAGGCATATGAGTGTATATTCATACACATAAAATAAAAACAATAAAAATTTTAAAATGCCATGGAGCATAAACTGCCTTTTTCTTGGAGTAAGAGCTTGCCCAAAGCAACAATATCCTTTTTATTTAAAAATAAATTACAAAAAGGCAGGCGTGGTGGCACACATTTTTAATCCCAGCACTTGGGAGGCAGAGGCAGATGGATCTCTGTGAGTTCAAGACCAGCCTGGTCTACTTAGCGAGTTCCAGGCCAGCTGGGGCTACAGGGAGACCCTGTCTCAAAAAAGAAAAAAAAAAAAAAGCCTATAAAGATATTTGCTATATGCACCAAATAAAACAAAAAATCTTTCAAAAAGGCAATGGCTCCAAGGATAAAGGTGCTTCTGACCAAACCTGATGATGGGGACCCACATGGGGGAAGTAGAAAACCAACTCCCATGTTATCCTCTGACCTTCACATGTGCACTGTGGCATGTGCACACAGACACACGTACATACACACACAAATGTAAAAGGCAAAGCATACGAAAATAAAGCCTATAACTTCCTCCTTTTGAAAAGCAGAAGTATGAGTCAACACCTGAATGCTGCTCCTCCGAATCAAGCTGTGAACCCGTTTACTGAATGGGTAATGCAAAACAAATAGAATGGATCAGAGGGGAAGCCCTGAGGGTTATGCTTCATTCAAGGACCTTACAATCAAACACACCAAAGCTAAGAGGAACATGATGAGCTCTGTGGTCCAGGAGACCTGGACTTGAATACAGAGCTACCCAATGACAGTGAGACAGGGACAAGCTGCGTAACTATTCTGAACATCTGTCCCAATGTTCTTGTGGGGATGACATGATGAAAACCTTATGCACAGAAAGGATGTGAAACACCTTTTACACAGTATCTAACACAGTAAACACTGGATAAAGGATAGTACCTGTTATTACTACAATAACCAGAGTCCAGAATCCAAAAATTCCTTTTGGCAAAGTACTTCTTGCAAAATACTGTTGCCTCTCTCAAGTGCAGTTCTGACAGAATTTTAAGCTATAGTAACTATAATTATAGAAAGTTTCTGGGACAAGAAATTGAAACAAACAATTCAGAGCAGAATCCCTCTGTCTCCAAAATACAAATTCCCTGGAGTTTTTTCCTTGACTTTTTGTCTTTGTCTTATTTTGTCTTAGTCTCACTTATTATCCCATTTTGGAGACACGGATAGATACTATAATCTGAATTTCGGGATTTAGAGACTGACATGAGCAGCTAGGGGTTTGGTTTGTTAAAACAGTCTTACTGTGTAACCCTGGCTGGCCTTGAACTCATAGAAGTCTGCCTGCCTCTGCCAAATGCTGGAACTAAAGGCGTGCACCACCACACCCAGCCACCCTGAGTATATTTTTTTTATTTATTTATTTATTTATTTATTTATTTATTTATTTATTTATTTATTTATTTATTTATTTATTTATTTATTTATTTATTTATTTATTTATTTATTTATTTATTTATTTATTTATTTATTTATTTATTTATTTATTTATTTATTTATTTATTTATTTATTTATTTATTTATTTATTTATTTATTTATTTATTTATTTATTTATTTATTTATTTATTTATTTATTTATTTATTTATTTATTTATTTATTTATTTATTTATTTATTTATTTATTTATTTATTTATTTATTTATTTATTTATTTATTTATTTATTTTGGTCTTTTTGAGACAGGGTCTCCTTGTATCCTGAGCTGGCCTGGAACTCACTATGTAGACCAGGCTGGTCTTGAACTCACAGAGATCTGCCTGCTTCTGCCTCCTGGGTGCTGGGATCAAAGGCATGTACCACCATACCTGGCCTGAGTGTATTTTAGCTGTAACTAATACAAGACTAGATTTCTGACCTCCTAAGTGCTTTCTTTTTCTTCTTGGAGTGTGCAGTGCATGTGTATGCAGATGTGTACATGTATGTGGAGGCCAAGACACTAGCATCAGTGTCTTCCACTATCTCTCTCCACCTTACTTTTTGAGATAGACTCTCACTGAATCCCCAGAGTCCACCAACTGGCCAGTCAGAAAGCCTGGGGATTCACCTGTCTGTCTCTGCACTACTAGCGCTAGGGTTACAGATGTGTGTGACCATGCCTGGTGCTTTTTAAGTGTGTGTGTGTCTATGTCTGTGTGTGTTTGCATGCATATACCTGTACTTTGATACACATGTGGAGGTCACAGGACAACTTTCAGGAGTGGGCTCTCGAAAGGGAAAGGAATGAAGAGACTGGTCTGGGAAGCTTGGAAAAGGCGAAGTGAAGATGGGGCTAGGAAGAATGAGATTCTACTGGAGATGGGAAAGCTGGGATCAGAGCCCAGGCCAGGGCCTCACTTTTGATGATCCGACTACTCTCCCTCACAGCCTCACCTGGGGACATGTCCATCTCATTCACTGTGGCCAGCAGCTCCTGATAAGCCTTTAAAGCCAGGTGCATCCTGTCAATTGAGGGCAAGAGGTGAAACGGAAGTCAACTTAGGGCACTGGCAAATGTCATCCCCCTAAGAGTACCTCCAAAACTGGAATGACCCCACCAGTCCTTGCACCCTAGCCTGACAACCTCAACTCCGAATCAGAAAAATGAGCCAAAATTAAGTGTTGAGACTCCCAGCTGGCCAAGGTGCCCAGTGTTACTCACATGACCTTCCCACTCACCGGCACGCCCAGGAGGCAGCTTCCTTACAGTCAGTCAGCATCATCTCATAGTAGTTGGTGAGGTTCTGCTCAACAAAGTGGAAGGTACGGACACTAAGGGTCTCAGAAACCAAACCAGGGTGGAAGGAGGCAGCTCGGTTAAAGGCCATAAAGAAAGCCAAAGCCCACATATAGTAGGTCTCATCGTGCTGCTGGGCTTTCTCCCGAAGCAGGTGATCCTAATGGTAAAAAGAAAAAAAGAAGAATACTGCCATGATCCAACTCCCTCCTGTCCTGTCATGAGGGGGTGGACTCTGGACACCACTCTATTTTTTAGAATCCAGTTTCCAACTTTCTTCCTGTTCTCCTCAAGTCTGTTCATATTTCCCTCCCCTTCCTCTAGGGAAACTGCTCCAGAATCTTTTTCCATCTTCATCTTTTAAAGATCCATTTTATAAATCGTCTGTGTGTGGATATGTACACAAGTCAGGCAGGTGCCCTTGGAGACCAGAAGAGGGTGTCATATCCCCTGGAATTGGAGTTTCAGGTGGTTATGAGCCACCTGATGTGGGTGTTGGGAATCAAACTCTAATTCTCTACAAGAATAGTAAGTGCTCTTAATAGCTGAGCCATCTCTCCAGTCCTACCCAGAACCCTGTTTCATCATAACCCACACAGGAGCCCCCAACTCCCTTTGCAGTTCACACCTCCAAGGTCAGCCTCCTTTGGACTCCTTGGGAGGCTGCCCATCTTACCTAACACTGGTCACATCATCTCTCTGGCTGTCTTTCTACGCTATCCCTAATTGCCTCCATGTCCTTCCCAGGCTCTTACCTTGACAGCACCCATAAGCCTGTTGTAACAGTTCTCCAGGAACTCAGAACAGAAGTCTCTAAGGAAAAGCCTCACGTTGAGGGCAGATCGACGCTGAATGGATAGCTCCTGGGCAGCCTGGCGACGTTTAGCCACCCTCCTGGGCTGCTTTCCCAGATCAGAACTGTAGTTTCGGAGCTGGGAGAATGTGGGTTGGGGCATTAGAATTACTTCAACCAGCTCCCCCCACCCCACTCCCTGCCTCCTGCACTGCAGTTCTTTCCACATCCCTTGAAGAAACACTTAGAAAGTCTCTGTCTCTGGTACTATCGGTGGAGACAATGTGGCTAATGCCAGAGGCGCCACTTCTACTCTTGCCAACCTTCTAAGCTTAAAAACAGATACCTTAACTCCAGAGATGGTCACCATTCTCAGGCCCGGTAACACTGGTGTTTCCATCCCAGATGTGTGTGAATACTCACATTGTGAAGGCCTTTGTGAAAGATGAGGTCCCTTTCTCCAATGGATTTCAACCCTTGGACAATGTAGGAGCCCCCAAATCGAGAATGCCTGCAAGGAAAATGAAAAAGGTTCCAAATTGAATCCTCAATTCTCTGGATGCTTCAGTCAACTCTCTTTCACCAGCAGCTCTGGGAGTGTTAAGGTTTTAAAACATTACCCCGCCTTGAATTGGCCTAAGAGTTCAGCATTCCCTGCTGCAGGTCAGGAACATGGCAGAGCGGCCCTCTGTCCCTCACCTGTTGCCTCGCTGGAGGGCTCGAGTTTTCTTCTCTGCCATCTCTCGCTGGCGCAAAACCTCCAGTTCTGCCACATCTGTGCTTCGCTCCTGAGCCAAGCGTCCCTGCCCTACTCCAGCCAGCTGCTCAGGGTTCTAGATTTGCAACAATAAGAGAAGAAAGAGAATCAGGACAGTCACTCCTACTAGGATTGGAAAACAAAACAGAACTGCTCAGGGTTCTAGATTTGAAACAATAAGAGAAGAAAGAGAATCAGGACAGTCACTCCTACTAGGATTGGAAAACAAAGCAGAACTGTGATAGGGTCCTGTACTGAAAACAGCTACTCTCCCCACCACCTGCCTTCTTCAGGTAATTTACTGCTACTACAAGAGCAATTCTGGCCATGTAGCAGAAAGGTGCATAGATGGAGGGGACTGGGAGAATAGGCCAGGGTCTTACCTGGTCACGGAACATAAGGGAAACAATCTCTAGCACATGCAGACTCCACTGCTGCTCAGCAGATGAGCTGGACAGGAAGAGGAGCAGGTCGTCCAGGCCGCTGAGGTGAATTGCCCAGAGAAGCCTGTCGTGGATGCTGGCATCATCATCGATCCTCTGAGTAGTGAGTGCAGAGGGGAGGAAGGGAGCACAGTCAGTTCCACGGCCTGACCTCAAAGGTCTCCATCACTCCTTGGCTAAAGTTATTCCCCCAGCCTTGTCAGAAGACAAAAAACCTAAAAGGGGGTTAGGAGTTTAACTTAACCAAGCATAAAGACTGAGGTGCCCCCAGACCCTCTTCACCTTCTCCTGATCAAGGTCAGCTGGGACATGAAGAATATTTCTGACCAGCAGCAGGATCCGCTCAATCAGCAAGTTGTCTTCCTCCTGCCGATCTTCCCAGCCCTGGGCAGAAAGAGAAAATTGGAGAGATTCCCCGTGGAAAGCAGGTGATCTCTAACTGGCTGTAAGACTGAGGCCTGAGAATCAGGACTAAAAGGAAAGGAGGCTGAATGTGGTGGTGCACACCTTTAATCACAGCACTTGGGAAGCAGAGGCAGGCGGGTCTATACGGGCAGAAAGAGAAAATTGGAGAGATTCCCCGTGGAAAGCAGGTGATCTCTACCTGGCTGTAAGACTGAGGCCTGAGAATCAGGACTGAAAGGAAAGGAGGCTGAATGACCACCTTTAATCACAGCACTTGGGAAGCAGAGGCAGGCGGGTCTGTATAGTAAGTTCTAGGCCAGGGCTACATAGTGAGACCCTGTCTCAAAAGAACTCCCAATAAAAAAGTAAAAATAGAGTGGAGAAGTATTGGAGAGGGGAGGGGAGGGAAGGCAGGCAGGCTGGAGAGATGGTGCAGCCATTAAGAGCACTTGTTGTACAATCATGACAGGAATTCAGACCCCAGGACCCACTCAACAAGCTGGGTGTTCCAAAAATGCCTGTAACTCCAGCTCTGAGGTATCCGATGCTCTGATGCTCATTTTTTGCTTGTTTTTTTTTTTTTTTTTGAAACGGGCCCTCTTGACCCCCCCTGGCCTGAAAACCTTTATTTAACCACGGCTGACCTTGAACTCACAGAGATCCAACTGCCTCTGCCTCCCAAGTTCTGGGATTAAAGGTGTGTGCCACCACACCCAGCCTGATACTCTCTTATGGCCTCCATTTGTGCACATACACTCAGGCAGAGCACACACACATGCATATAGTCTCATGCAGAACACACACACACAAAGTAAGATAAATCTTTAAAAATTAAAAAAAAGAAGAGAAAAAGTCAAGCCTGGTGGCACAAGCCTGTAATCTCAGTTACTCAGGAGGCTGAAGTGGGAGGATTCCAAGTTCAAAACCTGCCTAGATTACAGAGTGAGTTTAAGGCCAGCCTGGGCAGCTTAGTGACACCCTGTCTCAAAATAAAAAGTAAAAAGAGAGCTGGGAAACACCAGCACTCAGGAGGCAAAAGCTCAGAGGACCAGGAGTTCATCCTCAGCTATATAGTGAGCTCAAGTTTAAGGCCAACCTGGGCTCCATGAGATTTTATCTTTAAAAAAGGAAAATGAGGGGCTGGAAAGATGGCTTAGCAGTTAAAAGCACTAGCTACTCTTGCAGAGGACTCGGGTTTGGTTCCAAGTACCCCCATGGTAGCTAACAACTGTCTGTAACTCTAGTTCCAGGGGATGTGACACCCTCTTTTGACCTCCATGGGCACTGTATCACACAGGTACACTTACATACACGTAGGCAATACACATAAAATAAAAATAATAAAGAAACTTTTCTTAAGAAAAGGAAGGGATGGAGGGGAGCAGCTGAGCAGTCCATATCACCAAGGACTGAGGTCTTTTCTAGGTCCAGCATCTTCCCTTGTTTGGGGGAGGCAAAAATTGTAGGATACAGAAGGATAAGTGCTACCTAACTGCCTTTCAGGATAGAGATGGATGGACGAGACTCACCAGCTGTAGCAGCTCATACAAGGTTTCACTGAGGACTCCAAAAGCTTTCTCATTGGCGAAGGCCTGTGGAACAATGAACAGTTCTTACGTAGTACCTACCTCCTCCCTTCTCCAAACACTGACTCAGGGTCTCTGGAGAAAGGCCTCACCTCTTTGTAGGCCTGCAGATATGTTAGCACCTGCAGAAAATGGTGCCGCATGCCAGGTTCCTTGGGCACATTGACAAAACAGAGCAAGGCTGGTTGAGTCAAATTTACCATCAGTCTGGAGAAACAGTGAAGAAAGAAGTAGTTAGGTTCCTTGCCACACAAAAACACCTAAACCTACCAGCTCTAACACCAGTGCTGCACATGGTGGAGTCAAAAAGCTGGGGGGTGAACCTGATAACTGCATCAAAGAGAGGCTTGTCCTGGCGGTGCTGGGTGAGGATGGGAAGGAGGTCACTCTGCAGGATCTGCGCTGCCCCCAGCTGCTGTCGCACATCTCGGGTCTCATCCTCATGCCTCAAGTAGCGGATCAAATCCTTTACACTCTCTTCAGAGACAGAATAAAACATGGACCTGAAATGCTCCAAGCTCCACCCAGGTCCGTGTGCTTTTCATTCCCACGGCATGGGAAATTCAACAGACCTCAATTCAAGGAAGCTTTTCATCTGATTCCTCACTAGAACACTCACCTAAGCAATCCGGCTCTTTGTGGTAAGTGTCTCCTTCTAAGTACCCAAGGGCACTACATGTGGCTAGAAGTTCACAGTTCATCATGTATAAGTCCATACATCAGAGGACCAGCCAGCAGAGAAGGATGGGCAATGGAGACAGACAGGATGAAAATGATGAGGCCTGCAAAGACAGGGAAAGAGGAATGCAGGGGAGAAGGGCCAAGGCAGGGCCCTAAGTGCTCAGAGTATTCTGGGCAAGATCTTTAATTGCTTCACTCTTGTCACAACCAAAAGAGTTGCTCCCAGGCATAGGGAAAACACATGTTTATTAACCATGGTACTGGGGAAATCAAACCTGGGGAGGGCAAAGTGCAAATGCTCTACCACTGAACTACATCTGCCAACCTCCAGGAAAGCTTTATGTTAAGTCTTCTAGCTGATAAAAATCAGAGGCTTCAGAGGCTACTGCTCCTCCTGTAGCTTGAGCCTGAAGCTTGAGAAACATGTTGTTTCAGAGTTAAGGCAACATACTAGGAAGGAAGGTTGTCTAGAAAAGGGACCAACTGAAATGTTCACCTCAGAGAGCTCTGCAGCCTTGTAACTCCAATGCTATGGAGGCAGAGACAGATGGATTTGAAGGGCTCACTGGCAAGCCAGCCTAGCCTGATCAGCAAGCCCCTAGTCCTAGTGAGAGACCTTGTCTCCAAAAATGAGAGTGTTGACCCATAGGTGGTGGTACGTGCCTTTAATCCAAGCACTCCAGAGGCAGAGGCTAGCCGATCCCTGTGAGATCAAGGCTGGCCTGATCTACATAGCAAGTTCTGGGCCCAGCTATGACTACAGGGAGACCGTCTGAAAAAGACCAAAAAAAGAGTATGCTCCCAAGGAACACCTGAGGTTGACCTCTGACCTCTACACAGACACACACACAAATCTTACTTAGAATCACTGGAGGTTGGCAGGTCTTTATACGTGCATAGCACATACTTTCATCACTGAGCTATCTCCCTAGCCTCCTTTATAAGATTTGATACAGTAAGATCATTTCCATCTCTGAGATGTGTAAAGAAAGTTCCTTCAAGCTGGGTGTGGTGGCACACGCCTTTAATCCCAGCACTTGGGAGACAGAGGCAGGTGGATCTCTGTGAGTTCAAGGCCAGCCTGGTCTACACAGTGAGTTCCAGGACAGCTGGGGCTACAGGAAGACCCTGTCTCAAAACAAACAAACAAACAAAAACCAAAAAAAAAAAAAAAAAAAAAAAAAAAAAAAAAAAAAAAAAAAAGAAAATTCCTTCATTCTCCTCCCCAAAGTTACTTATAAACCCTAGTAATCTTGGTAGAAGGCAGCACTAACAGAATAGGAGGGCAAAGTAACAAATAAGTAGGAAAATAAATTCCGTCGCTCACCGCAGAAGAATCACCTGCCCCCTAGGAAGCATGTCCCTGTTTATTCCGATCTCTATATCCTCATCAGATAACCATATAGGCACAGATCCAGGATCCTGAGTGACTCAGAACTGGACATTAATAACACAGATGTACATAAATACATTAATTCTTTACTCTACTTCCAAGGAAAATCAGGAATATTCACCAATCTTGTCCTGTAGGCATCTTTAGCTGCACCCCATTCTGTTGTTGGCAGTATTCTCCACAAAGACCTTTCCTGGCTGTGGTACCCACTTCTAAATCCTGACTCCATCCCTGTGGGAAAATGGATGGTCTCCAAAAGTCCAAGATTTAATGGTTGATGCTCTCTCCCTGCATTTATATAACTGGTCTACTTCTTCAGGTTGCCTGCTATCCCTTCCATCCCCACCCAGTGCCAACCTACTTTCTGACTGTGCAGCCCAGAAATACATGGAGCCAATAAATCCTTACTGAATGACCAGGAAAACTGAAAGAAGACTTTTCCTTTGCTGTCCATTCTCAGGGACATGCAGACCCCAAGAACTGGTCTCCTCAGTGCCTGCAACCCCTAACTCTTCTCAAAGATACATTCAGCTTTTTCAGGGAGACCACTGGGGTGTGTCTGTACACATGTTTGGGCCTGTGTATATGTAGGCATATGTATATATGGGCATGCACACCCAAATCAAAGGCTTTCCCTATCTGCTCTCTCCGAGTGGCAGCCTGAGAAACTGATGAAGAAAGATGATAGGAAGCCAAGCATGGTGATGCCCACTTTTAATCCCAACATGTGGAAGGTAAGGCAGTGGCAGAAGGGTCTCTAAGTTCGAGGCTAACCTGGTCTATACATAGTAAGCTGTAGGCCAGCCAGGACTACAAAAAGAGACTTATCTTAAAAGCACCTACCTGGCATGTTCAAGGCCCTGGGTTCAATCCCTAGCACTGCACTATAAACCCAAAACCTAAAAACCAAAACATACAAGCGAGCAAACACAGCACACCCACACACCAACTCAGAAGGCTCCCAGATAAGCTCACATGCTCTTCCCTCCTTCCCCTTCGAAGCCCTTTATCTTGATCTTGTCTCCTTCACTGTATTCCAATTTAATAAGGCCTTGGTATTTACAAAACAGTGGCCCAAAGCTAGGATTTACAGACACAATGGTACCCAGCTCAGTTCCTCAGCACCCACACAAACGCGCACACACACGGAGACACACAACAAAAATACGCCTTGTTTCCTGTTTGATGACATTCTGCTGCATTCTTGTATTTGTTTTTTGGTTTTGGGGGGTCTGTTTTTTTGTTTTTTTTTTTTTGAGACAGGGTCTTTTTGTGGCCCCAGCTGGCCTGGAACTCACTATGAACACCAGGCTGGCCTCCATCTCACAGAGATCCGCCAGCCTCTTGAGTGCTGGGATTAGAGGCATGTGCTACTACACCTGGTTTAGCCTTGAACTCTTTTTTTTTCTTTGTTTTTTTGTTAGATAGTACTTCATTTTAGCTTAGGCTGGCCTAGAACTCACTATGTAGCCCAGGTAGCCTCAAACTCCAGCAAGCCTCTTTCCTCAGTTTCTCAAGAGCTGGGATTACAGATGTGAGCCACCATGCCTGGCTTGAGGAGACATCTTAAACACTTCTATCTCCCCTAACTTCTTTATGATCCTCAAGCAACTCTATCTAGCCCTGCCTCTTCTGCTACTGACTTAATTCATGTCCCAAGGGTCTGCTGTTTAGATTACTAAACTGTTTCCCAACTTCTTTCCCTGACTCTCATCTTTAAAAAAAAAAAATCTTAATTTTATGTGCATAAGAGTTTTGCCGGCATGTATGTAAGTGCATCCATTGCCCACAGAGGGCCAGAAGGTGTTGGTCTCCTGGAAATGGAGTTATGGACAACTGTCAGTTACCATGTGGCTGCTGGGAACCCAACCCAAGTCCTCTGCAAGGGCAACCGTGCTCTTAACAACTAAGCCATCTCTCCAGCTCTCTAATCTTTTTTAAGAGTTGGCTATTTTTTTTTTTATTCATGATATACATGTGTGTGCCTACATGAGTTTCTGTCCTCTATATGTGTACAGGAATCTGAGAAGGCTAGAAGAGGGTGTCAGATCCCCTGAAACTGGAGTTACAGGTAGTTGTGAGCTGCCATGTGGGTGCTGGGAACAGAACCCAAGTCATTTGCAAGAGCAACATGTGCTCTTAATTGCTAGGACATCTCTACATGCCCTCCCCTGCCTCTAATCTTGGTTTCTTAAACCCATAAAACTAAATGGTTACCTAATTTGGCTATATAACAACCTTGCTTAAAATCTTGTCAATGGATCCAGTGATGTAGCTCAGTGGTAGAGGGTGGTTTAGCAGGCAGGAGGACCACGGTTTGATCTCAGCACCAAAACACAAAACAAAAAAACCCCCTTCTGAGACACATAAGAATCTTTATTGTGTAATTCTGAGAAGGATTCTAAAATAAAAGAAATATTTATCTTTCACTTTAGTGTTATTTAAGTATTTACCATTTACCCACATTACTACATCAAACTTAAAGTTTAGGCTGGGCATAGCAGTGCACACCTGCCATCCCAGCACTTGGGGGGGGGTGGAGCAAGAAGATCAGATATTCAATGCCGTCCTTGGCCACACACTATGTTTAAGGCCAGTCTGGGCTGCATAATAACCCTGTCTTGATTGAAAACATAAAAACAAACGTAAAAAAAAAAGCTCACCCATGCCCACAATATAAAATCTTCATGACCTGACTGTGGTCACCTCTCAAGTCACTTTGGTGCAGAATGCTGTTTTCCCATTCACATTTAAATTTATGGACTTCTAAAACTGTCCAAATGACAGCTCCTCCTCACTTTTCCTCCCAGAAGCCACCTCCTTCTGCTCTGTCTACTTTGTGTCAGATACAGACCTCCATCAAGATGTTTATATTGCATGTATATAATAGTTAAAGCAGGTTGTTTAGAATGGCTGACTCCCTTCATTAGTTTTACATCCTGTGAGGACAGGAACTGTTTACCAATAATCTTTGAATTTTCAGAGCATGATTATCTGCTCAAAATTTTTAGGGAGCGGGAGTTGGGCAACAGTGTTTTGAAAATGCTCCTGGGGGATGAGGATATAGCTCAGTTGCTAGAGTGCCTATTTTACTTAACAAACAGGAAGCCCTGGGATGAATGAGACCTTGTTGAAAAAATGCTCCTCAGAGCTGGGTGTGGGGCAGACATCTGGCCTCCTAGTGATTTGAGGCAGGTGGATATCAAGGTACTTTAGGAGTGACCAACACTCAGGAGACAAGCTGGCCGATCTCTGTAAGTTCTTAGGCCAGCCTTATCTACATAGCAAGTTCCAGGTCAGCCAGGGCTAGAGTGAGACTTTGTCTCAAAAGTAAAGTAAAATAAAAAGGGAAAGTGACTAGCTGGACCTAGGAGGACTGGATAAATTGAATCTGAGGGCAACTAAGCTCAGTCTTCAAAGCCAAGGTTATCTGGCAGAAGGTGTCAACAATATCCAAATAAAGGGAACAGGAACAGCACAGATAGCTGAATTACCAAAGAACTCGAAGCAGGCATCCTTTCCCTGAGGCTGGGCGTGAAACAGCTGGACTAAAAAACGGTCAGAGTTTTAGAAAATGAGGCGGAATGAGTCCAGGGACAGACTGAAATGGCACAACGTCCGCCTGAGAAAGCCTGTGAGTGGCCAAAAGCTTTAATGTAAGACGATGGGCTTGACTTTTAAAAGGTTCTAGTCACAGCACGAAAGGCAGAGCTGACACTCAAGAAGAGGAGCTTAATCACCGGCTGATCTCCCGATGGAGGATGCGTCCTCCTGAAGTTTTACCCAGGGGGAAAAGGGAGGGTACCTCGTTCCATAAAGTCCCAACACAAATCAAGCCACCCAAGTGTTGTCGGGTCTGAACTGAGTCGGGAGTTCCAAGGCAGCGATTCCCAGGAACCTTCTGCTCCATTTTCTGGGCTGGAAGTCCCCAGGCCATCACAGCCCTTTCCGACCGAGGCCGGTCCACCGCGCCCAGGACCGCGGGGCTTCGGTGGAACACGCATGCACGCTGCGCCCCGCCCCCTGCCTTTAAACTCTTCGGCGCCGGGTCCTAGCGACGGCCCCGCGGCCTCCGAGCGCTGAGCCCTCTCGCCACACTCACTCACCGGCTCCCGGCGGGTCCTCCGGAGCCCCTCCGAGCCTGGCCGCCCTCCGGCGCACAGCCACCGCTTTTCCCGCCACCCGGCTGGAAGCGACCAGTGTCTGCAGCGCAGGAAACGGGGCGGGGCGAGCGGGGCGGTCCACTGGGGCGGGGGAGGGGGGAGCACGACGGAGATGACGTAGGAGGAGAAACAACGTAGAGGACTGTTTTATCTGAGTCGAGCCCCTGCATTAAAGTGAAACTCACAACGCTACGAGTTGCCTGCTGAATTGCAACGGGGATCAAGGGCAAATTAAAGCCGAATTTACAAGCGTTCTTCCCCGTTCCAGCCAAGTGGACTATTCCAGTCTTAAATGGTTAGAAAAGTTATGTTTGATTTGGAAGTGGAGTTTGGAGAATGGGATGGAGTCAGGGTGTCTGTCATACTACAAGCATAAATTAAAGCGCGCGAAGTATACAGGAAGCTCAGAAGGAAAAAAAAAAGAGCAACAATAAATATTCACTGTTCACTGGAGGGCCTCGGCTGAGGTGGTGGTATTTCACCGACACAAGATAGGGCTCAAGAAACTCATCTCCTGAATTATTAAGCATTTGGGTAAAAGAAATCAGTATCAGGGGTATTGAGGGGAAAGTTAGCAGAGATTTGCTGTGAGGTAAAAGAACAGGTGAGAGAAAAGTGAAAAGACGTACCAAAAGAAAGACCATGGAGCTAATGATAAAAGTACAAAGTTTCCATTTGCCCTAAACAAATCTCTGGAAGTCAAAGCCGCTTCCTCCTTGCCCCACTTCCCACCCCCAACTCCTGTATATTTGCTTCAGATTTCCTGTTTTAGCCTTAGAGAACAATTCTGGGATTTAAGTACTATTTGCCATGGAATGTCAGGAAGACCTGTTAAGCCAGCTTCATTTTGCCCAACCCCTATTTTGGTTGGGAGCTCCCTAGCCCAGGGTCGCTGAATGAATGTGCAACCCAAGCAGTGGATGTAGACAGGTTTATGTGGCTTTTATAGAATAGCTCAAGCCCAGTGTTACCTTTTCTCAGAGCTACTTCCCCACCCCAGGCTCCAGGGCAAGCATCCCTGAGATAAGTAGGCTACATTGTCCCGTCGAACTTTTAGGTGCCCTTGCCTAGCGATCTGAAAGTAAAACCTCTGATTCCTTTCCCACCCACCTCCCTGAATCCGTCTCCCCACCCTTGGAATGCCTTGCCTCCTCCGTTTCTGTCCATCTGCTTCCCCAGAGGACTAGTACTTCTTACTCTGCTGCTCCCTCAGAAACCAAGAGCCACGAACTTGACAGCAAGCAGGGGGAAAGGCCAAACACTTAAGGTCTTGGTTGTCTGTGCTCGCAAACTGGGATGGGGGAGGGACATAAACGTTCACACCTCTTTTCCCTTCCCTGGCTTTTGCGTCCCCAAACTCAGACACAGCTACACTCACCCACATTCATACACAGTCACACTCACACACAGTGAAGGTAGGTGGGATTGGGGAGGAAAGGAAGTTTGCACCAACCAGATCTGGAATGCAACTTGAAAGACTTCACACAGCAAAGGAAAAAATAAAGTGAAAGAGAAAAACACATAAATTAAAAAATAAAGACGTTCGTGCTCCTCCCATGGTCTTTTTCTTCATCCAGCGGCTGGCTTGGCCCCTGGGTGAAACTCAGGAGCTTTCTACACCCTCTCTCCAACAGAAGCTTTTACAGGGCCTGGGTCTTCAATTCAACGGGTTCCCCTGTACCCTCTGGCTGTCCACTGGAGTCACTGGGTCTGGCTCCCTTGAGGATAGACAGTCTCTCAGAAACACTCTTGAGCCGGGGGAAAGCAGAGAAAGTCATAGAGAAGACGGCCCAGGCCCCCTCCGATGATTGGGTCCACCCAGTACACCTGTGGGAAGAGAAAAGGAAAGCTCAGGCTTGGGGATTCTTCAGGGGAAAACAAGATATCCTGCTGTTGTCACACAGGATTGGGCATTGTCTAAGTAGAAATCAGTGTGGAGGTTTTTGTTGCTGTTTGTGGTGCTAAATATTGAGCTCAGAGCCTCTGCATGCTAAGCATATGCTCTACCACTGAACACACCACCAGCCCAATTGGTTGGTTTTAAACTTATAGGCTCTACTGTGTATACATCAGAACCCACTTTTTTTATGACTCACTAGTCATTTCATTTTCTGATTCTTCTATCCTACTATACCTCCTTAGCATATGTTCTAAGCTTATATATACATATATTGCATATATGCATATGCATATTATGTATAAGCATAATATACATTATAAGCATATGTATATTCTATTTGTTATCATAATTTTGTACGAGTTTATATATTTCCTAGAAATGCTTTTGTAAATTGTGGTAAAATACCCTTTATGACATAAAATTTATTTTATCAAGCACTGTTTGTTTAAGAAACAGTCTCATGTAGCTCAGGCTGGCCTCTAACTGGCTACTCAGTTGAGGATAACTTTGAAAACTCTTGAGCTGTTTGCCTCTACCTCATAAGTGCTGGGATTACAGGTATGTACCGTTATGCCAAGTTTATTTGGTGTTGGGGAACAAATCCAGCTTCATGCTAGGTAAGTGCTCTACAAAGTCCTGTTTGTTCATTTTGAGACAGGGTCTCACTCTTTAGCTCAGTCTGGTCTCAAAGTCACTATGTTGCCTAGCCTCAAACTTAAGACAGTTCTGCCTTCTACTAAGTGCTGGAATTACAGGCATGAACCATTGTGCTTGGCTTAGCAACTTTTTTTTATGTGTACGAGTGTATTGCCTACATGTGTGTGAGTGCACCTGTGTCGTGCAGTGCCATGGAGGTCAGAAGAGGGCTTCGGATTCCCCCAGAACTGGAGTTAAGGATGGCTTCTAGCCATGCTGGGACTCGAACCTGGGTCCTCTGTAAGAGCAGTCAATGCTCTTAACTACTGAGCCATCTCTCCAGCACCCTTATTAACACTTTTAAGTGTGCAACTCAGTAGTGTTAAGTATATTCACATTATTGTGCCTACTCATTTCTAGAATTCTTTCACTTTGCAAAACTAAAATTCTATGGCCATTACACTGTCTGTCCCCACTTCCACTCCAGACCTTAATAGACACCTTTCTACTTTGTTTATATTAATTTCCTCCTCCTCCTCCTCCTATTCCTGTTCTTTCTCTTCCTGCTCCTTTGTTTTTGTTTTTGGTTGGTTTTATTTTTTTCCTTGTTTTATGTAGCCTAGGCTGGCCCTGAACTGCTATGTAGCCTAGGGTGACTTTGGTTGGACTCCTGGTCTTCCTGTTTCCACCTCCTTAGTGCTGAGATTATAGGCATGTATCACTGTGCTGGCTTATTTGAATCAATTTAAGTACTCCACCTCGTGTAAATAGAACTAATAGGAGTTATGATTTAGTGACTATTTCATTTGGCATAATGTCCTCAAGACTCATCCATGTTACAATATGTCAGAACTTCCTTTCTTTTCAAGGTTAAATAATTCTTCATGTATGTATAGGTCATATTTTATTTATCTATTCATCTAGCAAGGAAAATTAGGAGTACTACTTTTTGACTATTGTAAATAATGCTGCTATGAAAATGGCTGTACAGCTTAGAAAATTACTTTGAATAATTTTCATGTTTGGTTTGCATATGGTCAAAACAACACCAGCATTACCAAAATACTTTTGAAGACTCACTCCACACCACAATCTGTGTTAAATGCCTTACAGATAATTTGCAAATTTATTTTTCATAACACCCCAATTTATAGTTTATACTGAGGCAAAGAACGAGTCATTTGCCCAGAATCCCATATAAGGATAGTAATGTATTGGAACTAGGGAGGTGTCTTGGCCCATTTTCAGTTATACACATTCTGATTTTTGCAACTAGATTTTTTATTTTCTTTTTGAGACAGGGTTTCCCTGTAGCCCCAGCTGGACTGGAATTCACTATGTAGACCAGACTGGACTTGAACTTACAGAGATCCGCCTACCTCTGTCTCCTGAGTGCTGGAATTAAAGGCGAGCACCACCACACCTGGTGTAACCAGAAATTTTTGTCTTCAGATTTAGTTGTCTATGCATACAGCCTCTAGTGTTGGACACTCAGCAAAAATCCCCAACTAACCAGAGAAGAAACAATCCAAGCAAGAGCCTTCTGTTTTGTTTTGTTCTGTTTTAGAAATGAAGTTTTGCTGTGTTGTCCACACTGGCCCCAACCTCCTGGACTCAAGCACTCCTCCATCAGCCTCCCACGTGCTGGGACTGCAGGCACATGTATCATGCAATCCTTTTCTGGGTGCTGGCAGAGCAGCCAGCACATCCGGATGGAATGCAGCCTGCAGTTCAGCCCCATCCTCTCACTTACCCAGTGGTTGGTAAAGTTCCGGGTGAGAATGGCGGGAGCAAAGGAGCGGGCAGGATTCATCCCTGCACCAGTATAATATATCTGCAAAAGACAGTTTGACTGAGACACCCCCACCCTTCCTCCCAGCTTTTCTCCTCAACAGCCCACATCGCTAGTGCCTTGTCTCCAGCCAGCAGCAAGTGGGAAAGGCAAGCTCCCACAGCAGATAGCGGCACTAACGCTACATCTGAGGACAGACTGTGAACCCAAAGGAAAATCCCAATTCTACTCATGATGTATGCATTTCTACCTTGGAGTCAAGAAGGACTAGAGATAGTCACAAGGTAGGGAGGGTTGACTCCTTCATGCCTATTGATACAGAAAAAGGTAGATGTTTCATTAAAAGTGAAATGGGAAGAAAGAACACAAGTTGGTAAAGATTTGGGGACCCTCGAGTCCTTGAATAAGAAGTTTCCCACCTCTCCTACCAAAGAGGTGCCCCAGGGTGAGGGAGAAGCCAACAGCTAGGGCCACAGAGCCCAGGCGGCCATTCCGCCTCTCACCGTATGTAGCAAAGATGCAGAACACAAACTGGAGCGTCAGAAAGATCTCCACAGTGGTGGCCTGGCCAACGCTAACCCCAGCATGCAACTGGCCAAAGGAAGAAAAAGGGAAGCAACTCATTAGCTCTGCCATGGGGTGCCATCTCAAGTATCCCCTTATAGCTTCAGTTCCCAGGAGGGGAAGCATGTATAACCCCTCATAGTCCTTGTGCCTATGTCTTCATTTCTCCTAATAGCACTCCTGCATTGTGGAAATGATTGCACTTACTTACATAGAGAGGAAACTGAGGCCCTATAAAGTAAAATAAATTTCCTTATGACCTGAAAGTAGAGCTGGGATGTAGCACAGTTGGTAGAGTGCTTGCCTAGTACACACAAGGCCCTGGGTTCCATTCCCAGCACCACATAAACTGGACATGATGGGGCATGACTGTAATCTCAGCACTGAGGAGGTGGAGGCAGCAGAATATGTTTGGATACATAGGGAGTTTGAGGCTGGCCTGGACTGGAGACCCCATCAAAACACAAACACAAACAAAACGAAAACAGCCTGGAATCGAAACTCAGGTTTATTGATTCTCAATGGAAGGCTCTATACTTTTCTTCCCCCTCTAAACCATTTGTTGATCTTCCCC